CTATGAGGGCGTCCCGTCTGCATTTCGGAAGCCTCCAAAACGTTGATATAAGCTCACAGGAGCCTGAAGGAACTAGAGGTATCATTGATTGTGAGGCTATTCATATCCAAAGACTCGCGGGGAAAGGCAGTGCAAACAGGACAAACTGCCATATACGGTTAGGTGCCGACTCGCTTAAATTTCGTGTGTGGCTCGCGCGGCCAAACTCACTGCGGCTAGGAACCCTCACTTCACAACTGAATTTGCCATCAGGCACGGGCAAACAGATCAAGAGGGCCGTTAACCCTGTCCACCACCTTATCACCCCGCGCGTCCTGTCCGACATCAGCAGATACGGCCAGTTTGTGAACAAGTTCGCGAACCCCCCTTTTTCGTCCGATAAACCCTCGAACCGCAAACATGTCGCGTTTCTTTTACGGCGGTGGTAGCGACAGCGAGTCCAGCTCGTCTGACGAGGAGGAGCTCTACAGCGATCGCGAGGAGGAGGAAAAGTCCGAGGAGGAAGAATCCAGCGAGGAGGAGGAGGAGACCGAGGGAGAGGAGTCCGAGGAGGAAACGGGTAAAAATAAGTTTTTGAAGGATGTTGCTTCCGACAGCGAGGAGGAGGAAGAGGAGGAGAAAGTCACGGTTGTCAAGAGTGCCAAGGATAAGAGATTGGATGAGCTTGAAAACACGATCAAGCTGATTGAGAACGCCAAAAAGATCAACGACTGGGCTGTTATCTCGACAGGTGCGTTTTGTTCCTTTCACATGCCGCTATCTATGTGGAGACGGAAATAGGGAGGTGGGTTGAATGTGTGAGATGGGCTGACATGGGATAACAGAGTTCGACAAGCTGAACCGACAGGTTTTGAAGATCGCGCAATCTGGTCCGACTCCCAAGATTTACATCAAGACCGTTGCCGACCTTGAGGATTTCGTGAACGAAACCGTTGCCAAGCAGAAGTCCGGAGATAAGAAGCTGAATGCCAGCCAGGCCAAGGGCTTCAACGCTGCCAAGCAGCGTATCAAGAAGAATAACAAGGACTACGCCAACCTGATCAACAAGTACCGGAAGGACAAGGAAGACTTCATGGAAAGCGACGATGAGGAGGCCGCCCCCGTTATTGCTGCTCCCCGTATCACCAAGTTGGAGCGTATTGAGGCTCCCGCCGTTGCTGTCGATGATGATGGCTTCGCAACTGTTGGCCGCGGTGGCAAGACTCTGCAGTACACTCCTGAGAGCATCCTGAAGCACCTCCGTGTGATTGTCGAGTCGCGAGGAAAGAAGAACACAGACCGCCTGGAGCAGATTCGGACGATGGAGAAGCTTCTGGAGGTGGCTCAGACTCCTTATCAGCGCATCCGTGTTTATCTTACTCTCATTTCCACGCGTTTTGACCTCACATCCACGTCCAGTGCCAACTACATGGCTGTCGATCAGTGGAAGTCCGCCGAGCAGGACTTCTCGTCCCTACTGTCGGTTTTGGAGAACAACCGTGACCACGTTGTGACCGAAGGTGCCGAAGAATGGGAAGATGACGAGAAGCAACCCACCATCACCCCCGGCCAGACCCTGTACATTCCCGGTAGCATCGTGTCTTTCGCCGAGAGACTCGATGACGAGCTTACTAGATCCCTGCAACACATCGACCCCCACACCGCCGAGTACATTGAGCGTCTGAGCGATGAGAAGCTGCTGTACACCGATCTCGTTCGTGCCCAAGCCTACGTCGAAGCTTTGAACGAAGCCGAAAAGAGCGAACCCAGGCAGGACAGTGTTAACCGGGTGGTCATGAGACGGTTGGAGCACGTCTACTTCAAGCCCTCCCAGGTTATCACAATTCTTGAAGATGTCACATGGAAGGCTCTTCCCTCTGAGCTGGATTCTGGCATTACCCCTCGGGCTAGCAGTGGCAATGTCGAGAACCTCGTCTTGTCCCTCTGCAACTATCTGTTCAAGAATAGCGACGGTATTATCAGAGCCCGCGCGATGCTGTGCCAGATTTACTTCCTTGCACTGCACGACCAGTACTACCGCTCTCGTGACCTGATGCTCATGTCTCATCTCACTGAAAACATTTCCAACTTTGACGTCAGCACTCAGATTCTCTTCAACCGGACGCTGGTGCAAATTGGTCTTTGCGCCTTCCGCTCCGGTCTCATCTACGAAGCTCAGAACACCCTTTCTGAAGTCTGCGGCAGTGGACGTCAAAAGGAGCTCCTGGCCCAGGGTATCATCATGCAGCGCTACTCCACGGTATCCCCGGAGCAGGAGCGTCTTGAGCGTCAGCGCCAGCTGCCGTTCCACATGCACATCAACCTGGAGCTGCTCGAGTGCATCTACCTCACCTCCAGCATGTTCCTGGAGGTTCCTCTGATGGCCCAGACTTCCTCTTCTCCCGAGATGAGGCGCCGTGTCATTTCCAAGACCTTCCGCCGTATGTTGGATTACAATGAGCGCCAGATCTTCACTGGTCCCGCGGAGAATACTCGTGACGGCGTGATTATGAGCGCCAAGTTCCTTGCCGCTGGTGACTGGAAGAAGGCTGCCGAGATGCTCAACTCGATCAAGATCTGGGACCTGATGCCCCAGCCCGACAAGATCAAGGAGATGCTTTCCCAGCAGATCCAGGAGGAGGGCCTGAGAACCTACCTCTTCACCTACGCTCCTTTCTACGACAGCCTCTCCATCGCCACCCTCTCCAACATGTTCGAGCTTCCTGAGAAGAAGATCTCCGCCATTATCAGCCGTATGATTTCGCACGAAGAGCTGGGTGCTGCTTTGGATCAGGTCAACAACGCCATCATTTTCCGCAAGGGCGTCGAGCTGTCGCGCCTCCAGTCCCAGATCGTCACTTTGGCCGACAAGTCCATGAACCTCCTGGAAGCCAACGAGAAGACTCTCGAGCAGCGCACCCAAGGTATGGCCAACGCCTTCCAGCGCGATCAGGGCGCCGGCGCCCGTGGTGGCCGTGGCGGCCGCGGAGGTCATGCCCGCGGTGGCGCCAGATTCCCCGGTGGCCAGCAAGGCCGTCGGCCTGGTGGACAGCAATTCGGCGGTGGTGCATTGGGCGGTGCTATCAAGGCTTAAAAAAGATTGTTTATAATGGCATCCTGTTTCTTTCTCTCATGGTCTAATGCTCCTTCTGGGAATACAAATGCGTATGAAATTCTGTCTGCTTCTGTTCCATTACGGCCCCTGGTCGACGACACTTCGCTGTCGATCTATCTCCATGTTATCATCTTATGTATGCCCTATTTTCATATTCTACAGATGGTTCGATGTCTAGACTGAATGAGAACAGAGAGGAAATCTTGGTTAATGGTGTTCTTCCATAGTAGCGATGATCCAGTTATATCTTGAGTAGTATGAATTGCTTAGTCGCTCTGAATAGCAATATATTTCAAGGGACAGGCATGACTGTCTACTAGTAAACCGCAGACCAACTATATATCTTGGAGATGAGGAGACGTGAAAGCATTTGCTTCTCTCTTCACATCATGAGGGGCGAGTCAGTCCTTGTATACATACATACGTATATATATATACATATATATAACCGCTATTGAAGCTATTCAGATACATGCATAGTGTCCACATGTGCGATGCGAGAGTGAGTTGCCAGCATGAAGCGGCAGGCATGATTCAACAGTGGTCGCCGATACAGGTTCCTCCATTCCCAGTCGAATCCGCCTATTGCCTCGAGCAACCTCACAGCTTGAAGGGGCGTTAACCGGCCCCTTGACATGCTGCGTTGGAGCAGAAGCGTGGCGAGCAGGCTATCCAGCCCGACGTTGGTTGACCGTCATCGGCCAGAGGAAAGGTTGTTTTTGTGATAAATGAACCGTCTCCGTGTACAGGGAATATCATCCGCTGTCATCGAGGAGATTCTGGGGCGACCAGTATTCATTCTCTTCGCCCTGCGCGTCCACCCAAACTAGGCCGTCTGCTACAAGGTCATCAATGACAGTTTGTGCGCGGGCCTTTTCCCAGTTCAAGTTCAATTGCAACATGGATACGCTGACATAGCCCAGTATCTGAATTGCCTCGAGAACAGTGGCCTGATCTGTGTTCAACTCTTTGGGGATAGAGCGGATGTACTGCTTGTTGCCTACTTGCACAATGGAGAAACCGGACCCAAGGGGCCCAAGTGATTTCACAGCGCGGAGAACGTCATCACTATACGTCAAAGGACAATTAGCACAGTCGAATGCATGGAAAAGAGGTTGAAGCCGTACTCAGTGACCTCCAAGCCGCTCCCGATGGCTTTGCCTTTGCCAACCTGTTTCCGACACTCTTCAACACCTAGCAAGCCTCCATTCTCACTTCTCGTGGATCGACAGAGCTCAACAACTCGGACCGCAACCTCAAAGTAGAAGTCATTCATATCACCGCCCATAATCTGCGTCCAGAAGCTACCGCTTTCTCCCCTCCTGCCATTCTTCCCTTTGACGTTACTGGCTGCAAGAGGATCAACCCCGATGGCATTGCACATACGAGCAAATTCTGCTCGGAATGTCGGATTCGACTTGATCGTTGAACTATGTTCTAGTGCGAATGTGTGAAGCAGCGACTGGAATACGGAAAGTTGTGTTTGGAGGGAGGCCAGGTGCGCAGAGCGAAGGTTGGCGCCATGGTTGGCATAGGATTGACTGGTTTGCGTACGATTCGCAAACGCGCCGAGTCCGACACCTCGACGAGTCGACATTATGATTAACGATATTAATGTCTCCTGGGGACTAAGTCATGCCGCGGGGTACATCTAGATGAGCCGTGAGATGGTGTCATGGTCAGATCGTTATCTTAAGGTCATGTGATATCCTTCTCCGATAGATAAGGGTAATGTTCGACTAAAGGAGAAAGGACAAGTAGCCCCATTGCGCTAACCGCACATAGGCTAGTGCAGCTGATCCACCCACACAACCGATTTTCTCTTCAATTGATTTCTTCCTCGAACTTTTTCTCATTCCGACAACCTTCGCCAACCGCCCAACTCGCGCATCAAAGGACCGTCGCAATGGCCTCGACTGCTACGTATGATACCCTTTGATTGATTCCTATCGGCTGTTTCGCTTTGCGAGCCCGTAAGGTTTCAGTTCATAGTCGTCCTTCTCGCTGGAGATGCTGCGATCAATTTTGGTCGCTGGGCACCAGCTCGATTTTTCCCGTGACCTTCTCTCCAACACGAGCTCTCCTCCCGGCTGAACACCGGAAGCATGGAGCCTGGATGATGAATGGTTTGGGGTATTGAGGTTGAAAGCGTCGTTGGCCTTCTCCTTGAAAAGCATTGTTGTGAGCTATCGTGCCCTCCGACAGTCTTGAAAAGAGATTGTCAGGATTCGGTGCGAACAGCGACAACATAACTTCCTGAGCGCAATGCTCGGGGTTTTGTCGGCTGAGGATAAAAGCTTGCCATCATTGCTGAATTGTGAACGTCAGGCTGAGAATGCTGTGACCAGTAGCAAAATTCAGTCTAGTGTTTCAGTGCAACGCCTTGCCTCACCGATCAAAAGGATGTCGTCGAGTTTTCTTTATATCTACCTTCAGTTGAGAATGTGGCACTATAGCTGCAATTCTTACACTCGGCGAATACTTGCTTTCGTTTGATTGCATGGACAGACTATACTGACCTCAAACCAGCACCGTCCCCACCCAGGACCAGGTCCTCGTCCCTGAGACCCTCCTGAAGAAGCGCAAGAGCCAGGAGCAGGCTCGCGCTGTTGCCCGCGAGGAGGCTCAGAAGAAGAAGGAGGTTAGTTGTTTGCAATTTTTTTTACCTATTTCTCAACCTATTCAATTGTGTGATGATAATTTTCCACTTACGCGACTAGACCTTCGGGTCGATGCTGTCGCTTTCGTTAACCATCTTTCGGGGCTGACAATACCTTTTCCATTGATTCATTCTGTGATCTGTTTGGAAAGGCGTGCCGCTAACTTGCAAATTTCAGGCCAACAAGAAGAAGCGTGAAGCTATCTTCAAGCGTGCTGAGTCCTACGTCAAGGAGTACCGCGATGCTGAGCGTGAGAAGATCCGCCTTGCTCGCGTTGCTCGCCAGCAGGGTAACTTCTACGTCTCTGACGAGCCCAAGCTGGTCTTCGTTGTCCGTATCAAGGGGTAAGTTTCACTCGAGCCTTCAGTTATCGTACCGTGGTGCTAATAAATCTGCAGTATCAACAAGATTGCTCCTCAGCCCCGCAAGATCCTGCAGCTTCTCCGTCTGATCCAGATCAACAACGGTACCTTCATCCGCCTCACCAAGGCTACCCAGGAGATGTTGACCATCATCAACCCCTACATCGCTTACGGTTACCCCAACCTCAAGAGCGTCCGTGAGCTCATCTACAAGCGTGGTTACGGAAAGGTCAACAAGCAGCGTGTCCCTCTCACCGACAACCAGGTCATTGAGGAGAACCTTGGCAAGTACGGCATTGTCTGCATGGAGGATCTGATCCACGAGATCTACACCGTTGGCCCCAACTTCAAGCAGGCCAACAACTTCCTCTGGCCCTTCAAGCTCTCCAACCCCACTGGTGGCTTCCGCACCCGCAAGTTCAAGCACTTCATCGAGGGTGGTGATCTCGGTAACCGTGAGGAGAACATCAATGCTCTCATCAGACAGATGAACTAGATGCAATCTTCTACACGGCGGTTCTCTATCCTGGGTTGTTTGGTTCACATGGCTGTTCTCGATTAGCGTATAATGGTCTATGATTCTCGGGTACAAAAAATGGAAAAGTTCAAGCAACCCATAACCTCTAGTCATAAATTATCGTAAAATAGGTCGTAGACAGTTTCCCGCGTAGCTTGCCCCTGCTTTGACTTCCGTGGACATAAAGGGCTACGTACCAGCTTGCTGTATGCGTCGTGGGCCTTCTGCTTGCCATACAATCCGAATCGAGTTGCAGCCTCGGCTTTGGGTCATGTAGCTTCACCCCCCAACTCCTCCTTTGGTCAAATTGCAGCTCAGACTATATTTCCATATTTAGACGTTTACGAACTGTTCTATCGACGGTTGTGCGTATGTCTACTGGTGTGTATGTATGTAAATTTTTTGTGGCCGTATATATCCCCTCCTTCAGTCGTCCTGCGAGAGCAAACCCACACCGATCTACGTCCAAGATTCCAAACCAATAGCCGACTAATTAGATCTCAATGACTTCTTGCACCCTTCTCTCCTTACTGACAATAAGACGGAGCTGTCTGCCTTGCCACTCGGTGCCTGTTGAGTTCGAAGCAGGCTTGAAGGCCCCTTCTCGAAGTGTCTCACCGAAGAGTTCGTAAGAGGGGTAATCTGTCATACATTAGCTGATGCTCGTCCGCCAATTCGATATACGTACAGCCATTCACAAAGTGAGACACCTGCTCCTCAGTCATGCCGGTTCCTTTGGTTGCACGCAGCGTTCTTTCCTGTTCCTGTCTCCAGTCGTAGACAAAGTGGAGGTCTTGCGCATCGCTTGGAGATCTTTAGCAAGCGAGCATTAATATGATATCGAGTAGAGGGAACTCACATATGAATCAATGCGTCGAGCCGACTGCATTCGAACAGTTAGCATCAGCGTCTGGAGCGATCCAATAGAGCAGGGGCACGAACTCGGTCAATACATCATACTTCCTCAAGGCGTCATTGACGGCCTTGACATCTTCAAACTTCACATGCCCTAAGCGGCCATTATAATCACCTTGGTCTTTCTGGCGGACTGCGGCCTCCCACTTCTCCCTGAGGACTTCATCATCCAAAGCACGGAAGCCAACACACCAGCCTTCGAAGATTACCACTTTGATTTTCTCTTGTCCGTCGCCGTTGACCGTCTCCCATTGGCTCTCAGGCACACGATCCCCCTGTCCCGAATAAGCGGACTTGTCATATTGCGGGATAGCTGTAGGACGGCCAGCACGGAGAGACTCGAAGACTTTTTCAGCTAGAGGCAGATCGTGGGTCGCCGGTTGGCCGCGATGCTGGAGAAGAGGGTTGGAAGGAAAGGATCTGGCTAGTGTTTGTTGTTGCTCATGGGTGAGGTAGAAGTCATCCAGGGAGATCGTGACGACCGGGAGGGAATATGGAGGTGCCCGAAGGGTTGATTGAAGGGTCGAGACCTGGCATTTACCTCTGGCTCAGTACACAGATCGAGAGAATACTTCTGAACAATTCGAGTAGCTCACCAGCACAGTCTTTCCTGCTCCCTGAACCCCGTTGAGTCCTAGGAAGAATGGCGGGGTATTGTTTGGGTCATTCCCATAGCGTGCCTGGTGGGCATCCAACCGTTTCAGCAGGAACGGGATGCAGTATTGAGATTTATCGTCAATGATTTCAGGCATTTTGCAAGAACTTGTGACGATCTAGGTGTTGTGGTTGGCTAATATGACTACTTCGATATTGTGATGCTATATATTATTTGTTCTCTCGGACGAGAGCCGACCGAAATCTGGGGTAGTCGAACTTCCCCGACGGGATAAGATTGTGCCTGAATGACTTCCCGCATCTGAGCAAAGTAACTAGAAGACTCTTCTGGGACTTGCTTTAGGATGCTGACCATATTCGCTGTCGAAAACAATTCGAGGACAAGGAATTATACAACCCATCAGCGATTCACCCCGCGTGTCCCACGTGACGGGACAATGACGTCCAGGCACATGCTCGCTGAGTCATCCGATGGTCCCTCTGAGCTCTTCTGCCGCTAGGAATATCCTTAAAGAACGATGCAAGTGTAGAAAACGAGCATTGAGCATGTGGACGAGGACGCAGCAGCTAGTAGAAAATAGAAATAAGACAAACGTCTCATGACTAGAGCATCGGCATGTGAAAACACATCATCTGCCTAGCCAAATCCGCTTTGGCGTCTGGCAGCGGAACCTCCGAGCTTCACTTGGAAGATACCGAGGTTCCTTTTGGAGCTTGCCGAGCGTTACGACCGTCTTCACCTTTATCCACCTCACGCTTCCCCCAGATCCAGTTCCGGTCTCCTACGGTATCCCCGGCTCCCCAGAATTTCTTCCTTTTAAACCTCACTATCATCCTTCTGACGAATCGTCTTTTGAATCCTTTGTCCCTTTTCTTCTCTCGTCCCTTGAACAGAACTGTGTGCTGAGTGCACCACCCCATTTGATCTTCTAGATACCCTCACTTTCCTTTCCCTCTAAATCTATCCAATATGTCTGAGCTGCGCTTTGACAACCAGACAGTCGTTGTTACAGGAGCTGGTGGTGGTCTTGGAAAGGCCTACGCTACCTTCTTCGCTTCCAGAGGTGCCAATGTCGTTGTAAACGATCTTGGTGTTTCCCACGCCGGTGAGGGGGCGTCATCAAAGGTACGACGGATCAATTATCAAAAACGGTGGTTTATGACAGCTACTAACTTAATCTCTACGTAGGCTGCTGATGTAGTAGTTGAGGAGATCCGGGCGGCTGGCGGCAAGGCAGTAGCCAACTATGACAGCGTTGAGAACGGTGAAGCCATCATTGAGACTGCCATCAAGAACTTCGGCCGGATCGATGTTCTCATCAACAACGCTGGTATCCTTCGCGATGTCAGCTTCAAGAACATGAAGGATCAGGATTGGGATCTGATCAACAAAGTTCACACCTACGGCGCATACAAGGTTAGCATAGCAACCATCAAGTTCGTTCTGTTTGCCCGGGTATTGACGATGATTTTCCTGTTCAGTGCGCAAGAGCAGCATGGCCTCACTTCCGGAAACAGAAGTATGGTCGCGTCATCAACACAGCTTCGGCAGCCGGTCTCTTCGGCAACTTCGGCCAGGCGAACTACTCTGGTGAGTTGCTTGTCGCTTGACACTATGTCACTGAAGCTAATGAATCGAAAGCCGCCAAGCTCGGCCAGGTCGGTTTCACTGAGACCCTTGCGAAGGAGGGTGCCAAGTACAACATCATTGCCAACGTTATCGCTCCCATTGGTATGTCTGAAAGAAGGATCTTATATAATTTTCAGCCCGGTGTCTGACTTGCAACAGCTGCCAGTCGCATGACCGCTACAATTATGCCTCCTGAGGTTTTGGAGAACCTCAAGCCCGACTGGGTTGTTCCCCTTGTCGCTGTTCTGGTCCACCCCTCAAATACCACTGAGAGTGGCTCAATTTTCGAGGTCGGCGGTGGCCACATGGCCAAGCTCCGGTGGGAGCGTGCCAAGGGTGCCTTGTTGAAGACCGACGCTTCCCTGACTCCCGGAGCCATTGCAAGAAAGTGGAAAGATGTCTACGACTACTCTCAGCCGGAGTATCCTACCGGCCCCGCCGACTTCATGAGCCTCTTGGAGAATGGCATGAAGACTCCTAGCGCTCCCTCTGGAGAAGAGCCTGATCTGAAGGGCAAGGTTGCCCTCGTTACTGGTGGTGGTAATGGGTGTGTATATCTGATTTTTCCGATCCTTAAGGAACATGCGCTGATTTATCTAGTCTGGGCCGCTCGTACTGTCTTCTGTTCGCTAAGCTCGGTGCCTCCGTGGTCGTTAACGATCTGGTCGATCCCGAACCTGTCGTCCAGGAGATCAAGAAGATGGGTGGAAAGGCCGTTGGCAACAAGGCTTCCTGCGAGGATGGCGACGCAGTCGTGAAGACTGCCATTGATGCTTTCGGTCGCATTGACATCCTGGTCAACAACGCCGGTATCCTCCGTGACAAGGCCTTCACTAACATGAACGATGATCTGTGGAACGCTGTCATCAATGTCCATCTGCGTGGTACCTATAAGGTGACCAAGGCCGCCTGGCCCTACATGCTCAAGCAGAAGTACGGTCGCATTGTCAACACCGCTAGCACCAGCGGTATCTACGGCAACTTTGGACAGGCCAACTATGCTGCCGCGGTAAGACCATCCCGTTTGATCATGTTGACTGAAGATGTATGGGCTTGCTAATCCTAGTCTAGAAATTGGGTATCCTTGGTCTCTCCCGCGCTCTCGCCATTGAAGGCGCCAAGTACAACATCAAGGTCAACACCATTGCGCCCAACGCGGGCACCAACATGACCCGTACCATTATGCCTGAGGAGATGGTTCAGGCCTTCAAGCCCGATTATGTTGCTCCCATGGTCGCCCTTCTCTGCTCTGACATGTGCCCGGAGCCCAGCAGCAAGGGTCTCTACGAGTGCGGCAGCGGATGGTTCTCCAGTACTCGCTGGCAGCGTTCTGGCGGCCACGGATTCCCTGTGGACGTGAAGCTGACTCCCGAGGCTGTTCTCAAGCAGTTGAAGCAGATCACTGACTTCAACGATGGTCGTGCTGACCACCCCGAGGACAGCCAGGCTGGTACCGAGAAGGTGATGGCCAACATGTCCAACCGCAGTGGTGGTGAAGGTGGCAACGACATCCTTGCCAACATTGAGAAGGCCAAGCAGGCCACTACTGAGGGCACCGCTTTCGACTATGTCGACCGCGATGTCATCCTCTATAATCTCAGCGTTGGTGCCAAGCGCACTGACCTTCCTCTGGTGTATGAGAACAATGAACACTTCCAGGCCCTCCCCACTTTCGGTGTGATCCCCTGGTTCAACACTGCCACTCCTTGGAACATGGACGACATCGTGGCCAACTTCTCTCCCATGATGCTGCTGCATGGTGAGCAGTACATGGAAGTTCGCAAGTTCCCCATCCCTACCGAGGCCAAGACCTTGACAT